CATGCACAAGAGAATGCTCAGTGTGATAAGAAGGACTATTAATACAGTTTACAGATGGCTAGGACATGAAGAAGTGCAGTTGTGTTGCAGCTGATGAGCTTGCACCTCAGCTAGCATAGCAAGTGGCTTTCCCTGATGAGGGTGGGATTGAATCAGAATGTCGAAAATGTCAGGCACTTCTACAGCCCTTTTTGGCTATGGTTTTGTTAATTAAAACAAATCATTCTCCCAGGGCATTGCATTTAGCCTGCACCAAGTGCAGAAGGACTCTTCTCCCTGCTGGTAGCTGTGATAACAGTGATAACAGTGACGTTCAATGCCCTTTCCTCTCTCAGTCACTGTTGTCCCAGAGGAAGAGGGGGTGCAGCTGCCTGCCACAAGTACCACTCTGAGGGCAGGAGGGCATTTGGAGAGGACAGCAGATGGACAAGAGTAGAAGGGCAACAGCAGCAGATTATAAATGTTCCTGCAGTTCAGCTGGAATGGATCTTTTTTGCTTTTCTGTCTTTGATATGCTAGTTCTTTATCCTATTCCTGTAATCCTTAAAAAACTGCAAATACAGGAGAGATTTTTTTTCTTCTCTCACTCCCTAAAAGAGGCCCTTTCAGTATTTTTCCTCTCCACACAGACTGAGGAATTTGCAGGCTGAGTGTGAGCCCATGCCAGATATCAGGGTTAACACACAAGATGAATAGAAGAGAGCACATGAAAGGGACACAGTGTGGTTAAGGCAGAGAAGAAGGGTGTTTCAGAATAGGTGCGCATTGACAAGAGCTACATCCCTCTGGAGCCTCTGAAGGACAGCAGTGTATGACTTGGCAGAAGCAGAAGTGCTTCTTTTATTTTGCTTTTTTGAGTTAGAGGAAAACAAATGTTCACAGAATAAACACAGACATAGACTCTCCAAGGCAAAAGACAAAAAAAAACAAAAAATAAAAAAGAGTGCTGCTTAGGAAACACTTTGCCTGCTAACACAAGAAGCTTCATGAGTAGCCATCCAGTCTGGTATCCTAGTAATGAGTGACTAGCTCATCAGTGTTTATTCTTGTGTAGTTTATTTCTTTTCTGCTGCTGGTTTTTGGAGTTGTTTTCTCTTTTGTTCTTGCTCTCACTGATTTTTGTGTGATTTATCATGGCTGGTTTCATATGCCTACTGCCTACAATAGTTTTTAGTCTCTTGCAATCAAACCTAGCTATGAGGCCTTGTCTCATTTACCCAAGGGTTTCCAACATCCAGCTACCATGGAAACATAATCTGCACTGATGCACCAGACAAAGGCTCGAGACAGATGAGATGTAGTCATATCACGGACACTGGAAAGCCTCCAGTGGACTTCTACCACAGCTCTGCAAGACAGACAATGCACAAAGAGTCAGAGTTTCATTTCTTATTGTGACGAGAGGTATCACACCTCAGCAGAAAATTAGATTAGGTCATAAGTGCTTTTTTGTAACTCATTCCTGCTGTAAAACATGCTTCTCAGTCCATAGGGATCCTTCACTCTTTTAAGATGTGCTATTTTTCTGGTTCCCTCAAGTTTTCCTGTCTAATGGCTAGCCATTCACCCCTGATGGGCATTCAGCCTGATTGGCATTCCTTCTTCACCCAGCCCTCTGTGGCCTGACCCACAGGACAGACCTTGGCCATGCTCCATGGGAACGTTCTTCTGCTGCAACTGAAGAGCTCATTTAGCTTCTTGCAGTGCCATCACCTTTGAAGGACTGCCAGGGCTGGAGGTAATATCCCAAGGTGCTCTCTGTCCAGTGCTCTTCAGCCACCCAAAGACATAAAGTCTGCACGTTTTTTCAAGTGTGTTGGGCTCTCCTAGTGCCAAAGACATAAATTTGGTACAACTCTGGCATATCCACAAAGGTTCAAGTAACTGAATGCAACAGATCTTCTTTGTATGTTATTGTAATTTAGGGTTTGTAAAAGTTTGTAAAATGTTAAGATGCACCTGGAAATTACTAATACTGTACTTTAGACTGCTCTTAGTTCTGATTCTGAGCAGAAAAACATCAATATTTTGGTGTATGATTAAGGCTTTCCAGTATATGGCAGCAGGAAGCTTTTGGATGTCTCTGTTTTATTAAATGTGGTATTTTTAGATCTTCATTCTTGGTGAAGTCAATTCACAACAGATTTCTGGGAGGGGAAGAATTTAATTTCACTTCCAGCTTACTTCAACAAATATTCTAAGTAAGAGGGGAAAAAAATCAATCCTTGTTTTCCTTTTTCATGCAGAAAAAGAATTCTTTTTCTGAAAAAGAAAAAAGAATTCAGATGAAGTTTCCTAAATCTGAAGTATTAAGAGCCTGACATTTATGTTTTCCTCTGTACCTAATTCAAACACATCCTTACCTGAGTGATGCTTCTCAGTATGTTCCAGTGTACCAACAGTTAAATAAAGCAAAGCTGAGGAATTTTTGTGTCACCATTTACAAGCACTTAATAAGTTGCCAGAGCCATTAGCATGGGGGGATGTTTTGCTAGGAGCAGAAGAGTGACAACTTGCACAATGGTGACTTCCTTCCAGAGCTGGGTGGGAACACAACTTTTGTTTTTATCATTTTTCAGTGTAGCCTGAGCTGCACAGAGCAAGTAGTTGGTTGTCAACCACAGTCCACTTTTTCTTGAGTGCAGCCAACCAAGCCTCAGCACATAGGTTATCAGACCTGTCTGAGATACTGAGGAGCCCAGAGAGGCTCAGGAGCTCCATCTGAGACAAGTGTTCAGTGCAGTGCAGTGCAGTGCATGTGGATTTTTCTGGATGACTTTGGGACTTTCTCAGGAGCAAATTCCTATCTGCCTCACCATAGAGCTTTTTGTTGCTGTTTCTAACATATCAAAAATTATGCCAACAGAGCGTTCTGTTATTCTTTAGCAACAGATTAAAAAAAAAATGGAAAATTGGAAGCCTTCAATTGCAACTTTGAACAATGCTATGAGAGCTTTCCTGCTAGTTCCATTGTTTCCACATTGGACTTTCCTGCTACAGGCCTGGTGAGGATGCTGTCATTGTCTTTTGTCCTTCACTGTAGATCCTATGACTTGCAGTGTTCCCATCTCTGATGTTGTTCTCCCAAGGCAGCCTGTAGTGAAGAAAATACATGCTTAAACTAAAACAAAGTGCACTGCTGCCTTACTAGCTAGGAGGCTGAACACAACATGCACAAGTTCAACAGTGACTTGTTGAATTTGAATTAATGACTTTGTTTCTGCAAAAAGCAGCTCAGCAGAGCTTTTCTGTGCAGGGGCAAATTCTATCAGCATGGACAATGCTGCAAATAAAGAAATGCAGTTTTCTACTCTTATGGCAACGGGCAAAAGGAAGGGACAAAAGCCTCTAGTCCTTTGCATGGGTTTCAAGTACTCTTTTCTAGGACTGCTGGAATCCAAAAGAGCTGCAAAAAGACAAAAGCTATGAAGCGGGTTCATGTGTTTGATGCCACCTCAGATTGGGAGAGTTTCATCCCCATGCTGTCAAATTGCTGCCAGGGACCCTAACAAAGTCATTTGGTGAAAGAGCTCGATGCTTTGACCTGGCAGCTGGCAATTCATCCCCCAGCTTCTTTCCATTGATGAGCTTTGTTGGTCAGCAAAGCGATAGGCATTGAATGGCACCATTAGTTGCAAGCAACCTCAGTTTAGGGATGCTTTTTGGCGTGTAAAAAGCCTGTGTATGTGGTTTTCTGGCTGGTAATCAGTGTCTGTCCCCTGGCATATATTGCAGGCTTGCAGACCCTTTGGAAAATCTTCTTCTATTCGATCTACCTGGGTTTGCTGTCCAAACTGCACAGTTTACAGTTGTCACTGCCCAAGCTGGAAATTGCTGGCACCTTCTTGGCAGGCATGGCAAAGTCTGCCTAGGTGTGGGAATTGACTTAGGTGCTAGTACTGCAAGAGGCCATCACTGTAATAAAAAAGGGAGCAGTATATAAACAAATAAATACCACAATGACGGGAGAACCAGTTTGAAAACAGCGCTCTCAGCGTAGTGCTGGGAAGTCCTTATTGCTGCTACCCGTGCTAATCCTGCTCAGTGTTGATAAGACTTTGGTTTCCACCTCAGTAAAGCAGCCTGGAAAATCTCAGGAGCCCTGTCTTTGTTCTGACATGACTGGTGTGTAAGGGCTTCCCCAGCAGAGCTTATATTTAAAGTCTCTCTAACCTCCTGTAACTCCTGCAAGGAGTTACAATCTTCCTTTAATTCAGTACTCCCAGTAAAGTACAAAGCATTTGACTTAATTTCTGCATTGAGCTCTGAATTTTGTTCTGGGCTTTGTTCTCCTCAGAGCTTTGGAAAACAGAGAAAGGAGGGGGGAAGCATTTTAATCTGGGTAAGACTCTGTGGCTTTGACACTATTGAAGCCTGATGAGCCTCTGAATTTTGATTGAATAGACCCATAAGAAAAGAAGTAGATCCGTTGAAGGATGGCATTTCAGTGCAAGAAGGATGTGTGTTTAGGACTTGCCATTACATAATGGGGCTGAAATGGGTTAACAAGAACCAGGCTTTCTTTTTCTTGAGAATTGCTGCCTGCACCACTCTTTTTCTTTTTCTTTCTCTTTTTCTTTTTCAGCACTCACAGAAAGGTTTTCTTTGTTGTTATAAGTTTGAGAAGTAAATTGCAGTATTATTTCTTCTGATTGAGAGATTGATTAGTCAGAGGTCTCTAGCTGAAGGGAAAAAATGTTCCTTATTATCATCTTTAAATGTAAATGTATTTGCTAAGCAGAGTTTCAGATGGTGGGGGGCTGGGACTGGGGTTTGGGGGTGTGTCTTGCTCTTTTGATGTGCTGCCCATAACCATTTACAGATCTTTGAAAGGCATCCCTCTCATTGGGTCAGTGAAAAGAGAGTGTGGGAACAATGGTCCTGAAAGAGAAAATTAACCATTGCTGCTTCTGTCTGGATGGTTCTTGTGAATTTTGACAAGTAATAGTGTATTAGTTTATTTGTAGACTTTGTGTTTTGTCCATTCTTTCTCTTTCTAGGTGCTTTCATAATCTGCTGGACCCCAGGATTAGTCTTGCTGCTCCTCGACGTTTGCTGTCCCCAGTGCAATGTCCTGGCCTATGAAAAATTCTTCCTGCTCCTGGCAGAGTTCAACTCTGCCATGAACCCCATCATCTACTCCTACCGGGACAAGGAGATGAGCGCGACGTTCAAGCAGATCCTGTGCTGCCAGCGCAGCGAGAGCGCCAACGGCCCCACCGAAGGCTCGGACCGCTCGGCCTCCTCCCTGAACCACACCATCCTGGCTGGCGTCCACAGCAACGACCACTCCGTGGTGTGACACCACGGCCTGCCCCTGGCCCACACAGAGCAGCAGGCGTGGCCCCAGGGAAGGTAACCCACTCACGTTTTCTCAAACACTAATGGACTACAAGTGCATCTTTTCCAGGGGGCCTGGCATACCAGCGCAGATTGCCCTGTCCACAGGATTGGCCATGCTGCAAAGCCTTTGATTTCTGCTTTGAAAAAGTAGAAAGTAGTTGCTTTGCAGAAGAGGCCATCAGTGACCCGCAAAAGCCTTGCTGAGACTTTGTTGGACTTTGCTGCATCTTGGTGCCAGTCTGAATCAACTCTGATTAATTAAGCTTATACCTGCTTCACTGCATTTACATGTAGCCACTTAGTATTTTTAAAAAGGGAGTAAAGGGGATAAAAATATGCCTATCATTTAATAGACATGTAATATGTATCACCATCAGCATGCTTGTGATGAACATTTTCTGTGCAGGGAGTAAAACTGTGCTCTAGTCTTTGTATCCTTAGCCACACTGTCATAACTACAGTAAAAAGAGAAGTATTTTTTTCTAACACAGGCAACAGGAAGATGAGGGAAACTGACTCTTCTTACCTTCATTACTGGTGTTAGAGAATGCATGTTCTGTGTGTATGCAGATTGTTTTAATTATGAAAAAAAAAATCTCTTTGTAAAGTCTGCCAGAAAGTAGAAAAACATAGACTGTATTCCAGTGTTTGTTTAGATTATGAAATAAACAGTACATTAGTCACAATGTATATAAGGTTCTTCTTTGAAGTACAGTATGAAATTTGTAACATGTGAGGGGTACCAAGTTTTTTATGGGTAAGTTCTTAAAGTAGGACACATCCCTAAGGCTCTTAAAGGGCTACAGTCAGGTTGGTAGATTTGAAAAATTGTATTTATGGCATATTCTTGGAATGCTTTTCTTGTTCATGGCAAAAAGCATATGCATTTTTAATGGCAAAAAAGAAAAGGTATGTTTTTATGGAACCTTTCTTATAATTGAAAACAAAACACCTTCTGCATTTTTGCACTGAGAAATATTGTAGGGTACCATTCAAATGATGCCTCCTTCATTTCAGAAGCAGTGGGCTACTAAGAACCATGGCACAATTTTATGTTGTGAAGTCAACACTTTATAAGATAGTCATCCAATGCAAATGACTAGACCATATTACAGATAATAGCCACACATGTACACTGTTATAAATACCTAAGCTAACAGGTGTGTTTTTTCCATATGAGACTGTTTTGAAGAGAAATGTCACTCATGTGAATATCAGTTACCAAGAATCACTGATAGTAAACAAAACTCATCAAGAGGGATACATGTGAGCAAAGGTGGGATCTTGCTGATAAAAATCTTGGGACCTCTTTCCAGGAAACTCTGTGTTATCCTAACAATGTAAAATATATCAACAGTAAATTCCTGGTGCTGTTCTTGTCATTGTAATTTGTCTCTATAACGAAAAGAAAAAAAAAGGGGGGGAAACAAACAAACAAACAAACAAACAAAAACAAACAATAAACAAACAAAAAACCAACAAAAAATCCAAGGGAAAAAAGACCACACTCACAAAAAAATAACCCTTCAAAACAAAACAAAAAAACCCAGAGATATATATCCTTCATTGTACCATACTGGAATGTAACTTAAGGGATGATATTCTCCCATTTGGGCAGGGAAAAAATGGAGGGTGGAGGGTCAGCTCAGCAAAATCCAATGTTTTCAGCATTTCTTGCTTTGAGGAGATGCTTGGATTTTGTGCTTCCAAGCAAAAAATTGCATGGAATAGGCAGTTCCTTGCTTAGAGAGGGAAGAGAAACAAGTGAACAAATCCTGCCTCCACGGAATGAAGTGAGAGTTATGACACTGCTTTCAGTAAAACTGAAATCCACCTGAACAGTCAAGCTAGTTTTTTGTGGACACTGTGGAAGGTGGAGTAGGCAGAGAGAACAAACATTACATTGTCTGCCAGTTGACCAAAGTTTTGAATATATCCACTGGCTTTGAACAAAACCAGTCTTTTTTCTGACTGTATTTGAGAGCAAGTGAATGTACAGATGGATTTGGTTTTATTTGCAGAACTGTACTGAGAAACAGAAAAGCAGGCTGCATTAACTTTTTCATTTGAAAGCATCTGCTTGCTAATCCACTCATATTTTTTCCTTAGTGCCTGCTTGATACTTGAACTAGTGCAGGTAAGCAGAAGAAAGGAGAGAGTAAGACTGCCTCCAAAGACAGATATCTGAGTAAAAAAAAAAAATTCTTTTTCTCAAGAGTGCTTGGAGTTCCTTTCTTCCTTGAATCCAGCAAGAGCATTTTTTCCTGTCCCTAACATCCCCACGAAAGTAGAAGATCGTAGACACTTTAGGCTAAGGTTTGGAGGTTTTTGAGCTGAGGGTTGTCCTTTCCAAGTGTTCTTTTCACTGCTATTTGCATGCTTTTATTGAATCTCATCTGGATAGGGTGGGAGGATGATGTTACAAAATAGCAGCAAATCATTCACCCTAGTTTAACCTGCTGGAAGTCTGGTGGGTTTTGAGAAGCCATGGGTGAATAACTTGAAAACAGGAGGGGTGTGGTTGTTTGAACATGGGTGGATCCAAAGGCCTCTTGTGAAGACAGATGCCCAGGGAGGTTTTCTGTCGTCACTGTGATTGTGACAGAGGGCAGTTACTGTCCAGGTACATAGTTCAACCCAAGGAGTCACTCAACAATTCAAGAAGGTGAACCTTTTGAACTCTTAGCAGCAGTTAAATTCCGTTGTCAGGTATATTAATCCAGGAGCATGTCTGACAGCAGGTGGCTTTTCTTCTAAAAGGTGAAGTGTGATGTTTCAGATCAAATGCAGCAGGAGGAATATTGCTTGTACAATTCTGCTAGAGGAGCTCACCGAGCCTATGGCTGCTGTATAACAATTTGATTAGTGCTTTGTGTTGTTGACATGTTGTTCCTATATCCTTAAGAAATCTGATCTGTGAATTGAGTAGTTCTTTGCAAGCTAATGAAATTAAAGCTCCAGTGAGCAAAAAGAATAAAAATCAGAGCCTGGAATGGAAGGACCCATTTCCTGTGTTCCTTAGAATGGTTCCCAGCCATTTGTTGTCATCTCAGAATTTTTTTAAGTTTTGATCTTCTATTCAGTTTTTCCAGCCACATTGTGCAGTTGTAGAGCTCACTTCTGCCATGTGAAAACATGGTGCAAAGTACTTAGGGAAAAAGATTGCCCCACTTATTTTTACTTATCTCAAATTCTTCAAAAGGTTTTAGAAGACTTCTTAAAATACCAACGATCCTCCCACAGTCATTAAAATTCTTTTGTTGCTGATTGCTTCTGGTCCAAGTAAATCCTCTTGAAGTTCAAATGTAATGGTGTTCATGTCAGCAATTGTAGTGGTGGGAAGTTGTGTAATAAAAGGAATATGCAGATCAAGGAAAATGTGTTTTTCTACTTCATGTATTTTCAGTGGCAGTATAAATCTGAAAACTAATTAAAAAGATGGCCTTTGAATTTTAATTCCCTGTTGCTGTGATATATACAGAAGCTAGGTAACCCATCGGTCAGAAAAAGCACAATTTTTTCTATAAAAGATTGAAAATATATTCTATGTATGTTTGACACATTGATTTTCTTGTCAGCACCTTTTTTTTGTTCTGAGTTTTCTGGGATCCCTTGGCAGCTTGAGGCTGGCTTCTGTCTGAGCAGAAAAGCTAAGCATACTAAAAGCTGAGCAGATAGAAGAGAGGGCAGACCGAAAAAAGGCTTTTGCACTGATTCCTAAATCAGTGCACCAGTAATGTCCATAGTGCACCAGTAATGGAGTTTTTTTAAATAGTTGCTGCATTGTTTTTTTTAACTCTGCCTTTACCAAAGAGTCACAGCTGTAGCAGCATTTAAACAATCAGGCAGCAAAGGCTTGGAGTAAGCCACTCGGTGAAAAGGAAAGGGCAGGCCTGCTATCTTCATGGGGCAAAAGTTACACCTGGGTAACTTGGATGTCAAAGAGTAAAGGACATGTCTTACGTCCAGTGTTTTAGTTCTCCTTCCTCTGCTATGTAACTTCTGAATATCAACATAAATTTGTCCCAGTATAGGATTGCACTGAAATTAAACTTTTCAGGTCACAGCATGGGCTATCTTTTGATCCGTACTGGTGTGGTGGGCAGGGGTTTAACCATGGCCAGCCTGGATTCCAGGAGCAGTGTGTCAGGGGAAACTGATGTGGGCTCTGCTTCTGAAGCAGGTTTTGTAGCTTTTTCTGACCTTTGTGTTGCTCCAGTAGCATACTACCAGATACCATATTTTACTGTAAAGCCATCTAGGGTTTCTGTCTGTGACACTGCTGCAGTGGGTCTGTCTGCAGTGGGTATCCTCAGACAAAAAACATGCAGATTTTTCTGTGAAAGAAGTAAAAGTCCACCATGCAGATTGGTCTTACCAGGTGGAATTAGAAAGAAGACCACCAATGGAGAAGCTTTGATGCAAACACCTCTGGCCTGTCTTTCAGTCTGTGTGAATCGAGGTGATGCAAAGCAGAGTGGGCAAAGGCATTTCTCTAGGGCATTGTCCCCACTCTGTGCAGGAGGCATGACCCCGTCCCTGGTGTTCCTGTCATTGTCTCTTCTGACTTCAAGACTGGATATAGCTGGCAGAGGTCAGTCTTAGCAAACTGGCAGATTTTTTCCACTCACTGCAGAGGTAAATACAGGCTTTTCCTTTTTCTGGTCCTGTTAAGGGCTTTCCTGTTATTGCAAGTGTACCTGTCGTGTCCTTTCAAACCAGTTCTTGCTGTGAGGCATCAGTCTGTGCTGTACTCTGATGTCTGTAAGGAGGGGATTTGCAACTGCAATCTCATTTGTTCAGACAAATTGCTTGGCTTTTCCATTTTATTGGAAAGGCCACTTCCAATAGAGAGTTAGCTTTACTGGCATCCACACCTGTCCAGCCACAGCTCCTTAAGAAAATGTGCCCTTATCTTTCCTTCCATTTTCCTCTCTTAGAGGATTTTCTAAGAAGCTATTGACCCAGCTTCTCTTTTCTAAATCTATCAAGAAGACAAAAAAGAGGTTTATGTTTAAAGAAAACAAACAAAACAGCCAAACCAAAACAAAACAATTACAACAAAAACCTCACAAAACAAACTAAAAAAACCACAAGAAAAACACAGAGCACATGGATGTTAAACTATGCTGCTCTCTTCTGCGGTACATGGAAATCAACACACTGATAACTGCCAGCATTTTAACAAGAGCCTCCATGAAGTGTTCCCTTTTGCCTGTGATAAAATTCTGATAACCAGAAGTGTATGTGGGAGACTCAGGAATCTGTTAATTTTTCCTGTTTAAATAAAGCCATGTTTGTAATTCAAAAGTATTGAGAGAGCCAATGAGCTTTGGAAAACAATTTTGTTACTAAGTGCACTTACTGTAAATGTTTAGAGGTTGTATCTAGTACAATAAAGTATTTGGCATGTGTAATATGGAGCGTGAAAGAAATACCCTTTTTCGGGAGAGCTGGTATTTTTGAATGTGGAGGGGAATTAATCAAAAGCTGTAACAAGACACAGGCTTGTCTCTTCCAGGAGATAGCATAGGGTTAAAACACAGGGGCAGCAAAGGGACAGGTCATTTCCAGTAAATCACTTAACCCACTCTGTGATTCTTATATGCCCACCTTCCTTTCTTTGAAGTCCATATTTGCACTATTTTAACCTCAGACCTCATCTTGTTGCTATAGAGAAAACATTTCCTGCACAGAGAAAACAAACTTACTTCTTTTCCCTCTTCCTATTCCCTCCTTCCTCCCTCTGCTTTCTTCCTTTTCCTTTTGCTCTTCACCTTCCTTTCCTTTTTTTTTTTTTTTTTGTGCATGGACATTTTTGTCCTACAATGTGTCCCCAGTTTGGATTTAACCACAGAAGGTTAACTGAACCAAATCTGGTTGGCTTATGTATAGAAATGGATGTGTGCACACATAGATCTGCATAGCCATAAGAAGAGGGCAGAAGTGAAATAAAATTATTCTTTCAATGCTGTTTGAGTATAGGTCTTTATGACTCTATTTTTCTGCTAAATCCTATTTCACATTTTGAAGAAAAGAGGATTTATGTAAAGGGTTCATTAGCCCCCTGCCTTTTGCTAGAGAAGCCAATCACTTACACACTGATGGGAGCCAAGTGTCTGCTTCAGCAAAATGACAGAAAAAGAAGTTGGTGTTCCTAATCACTCTAAGCATTATTACGTACAAAAATAAAAAATGAGAAGAGTTCAAGTTTTTTCATCTCCCCAGATCCTGGTGATTTATGACTAATGCCTTGGTGCTGGGCTTTCCATGGCATGGCATGTGTAATGTAAAGAAGCCGCATAGAGCTTGATTACTGGACATAATGAGCAGAAAGCCAAAACATACAATTCCAAAATAAATCACGTCTCATGAAAATGCACTGCAA